GGCAAGCGGCAGCAGGGCAGAGTCCCCACTCCGAGTGCTGCTGTGCCCACATCCCACCCCGTCTGCCCCCCATCCAGGTTCCGCACCCCTGCCCTGGCTGGGCAGGTTGCCCCAGCCCCAGTCCTTCCCTCTCCCATGCTCCTTCCCTCCCCCAACCCCAACAGACTTACCAGCTGGAGGCAGCTGGGGCAGCTGAATCACCGAATAATTTCCGAATCGATCGGAGCTTTTAATTGGCCTCCCGATTCGATTTGGAGATTTGGTCCCTGAATTGGGCCAAATCTCCTCTGAATTGAATCAGCTACCGAAGCTTCACACAGCCCTAATATACAGCATCTGCGAAAGACTTGCAAATTAGTTTTCATTCCTTTGGGAGGAAGGTGGTGTTGTTGGCCTCCTTCCCATATAATTCCTTTGTTTACATGGAGAAATGATTCCCTCCTTCTTTCATAATTGTTCTATAAAACTTTGCTCATCCTTCCATCATATACTTCCCAGTAGTAATGCTACTTCCCAGTACAATAAAAGCTCTGTTATCCAGCATCCATGGGGAATAGGGGGTGCCAGTTAATCAAATATGCCAGTTATCTGAGAGTTATATGTATCTCCAGCCTGGTGGGTTGGAGGCATCTTTGCCTATTCGGGCTGCCACCCCTCCCACCACATCTAGTGTGCCAGGGCTTTCACTCCCTGGCGTCAGTGTGTCGGGTGACAGGGAGGGAGGCTCCGCACAGGCCGCTTTGCCCCGGGCCGTGGTGCAGAAGAAAAAGGTGGGACTCGGCTTATGGCAGCAAAACTGGAAGTGCCACGGTGGGACAGATGCTGGTTAATAGAGCATTCCAGATGGTAAAGTGCCGGATAACACCGCTTTTACTGTAGTAATGAATGAGAAAAGCAACACAAGAGTGAGAATTTTTTTTACTGGTAATTTTCTTTCTGTTGGCAACTACTTGTCTCTCTATTCATTGTGTACCCTGGTAGCCAGGTAAGTGACCAGAATGTAAACTGGAATCATTTTCTCTCAAGGGAAATTTCAACATGATAACGCTTACCTTAAAACAATGATGAGTTGTTGCCTGCATGCAAGAAATGCTGGCAGAGCTTCAGCATCTTTGGAAGAACTCTCCTGGTGGCCTAGGCTGATGGACAGGGTTTAGTCCTACATCCATGCATGCTGCAAGGTTGAATTCTCCCATTGGCAGTAACCTAAGGGTGGCTTGTAGGTATGTTGCTACTCTCTACTTCTGTCAAGGATTTTAACTTTTGAGAAATATAATTTGTTAATTTATAGAGTGAATTTAGAAGGAAACACAACTGTTTTCTGAAAGATAATTGTGTGTATTCTGTGCACACTGGTTGTAGAGTAATTTTTCTACCTGTATATAAATTTTAGTAGAACACAGACATTAAATTAATCCATTTATTTTAATTTGTGGGAAGGTGAAAGGCAGTTAGGATTGCCAGTAATCTTCCAGAATGTGGAGTAAGGTTAAACTTTGAAAAACAGGATATAAAGTTAAGATTTGCTCTATATCCATCTGAGGTATGGGGAGCAGCAGGTGATTGGAGAGAGGACAGACTGTGTATTAGGGGCTCCTTATGGAGGCCTAGCTGAAGTGGAGGGCTAGTTTAGGCTGGAGCATAGTGGTATTGCAAAGGTTGGCTCAGTATACAGATTAGCATACATAACCAAAAAGGTTTGCGACCATCTCAGTTAACTAATATATGCTGGGAACATTACAGGGCACCTTCTTATATGGAGCCAACATATATGCAGTGTACTACTTAAGTTAATGTGGTGAGCGTGGAAGGAGGGTAGGTGGAAATATTGACAGGGAACTATTATCATGGGGTGGGAGGTGGAGGAAGGATACAGTCATCTTTTTTGTATTTAACATTTCTGTATAAATATGGTATGAAACTGCCAAGATTTGGTATATTGACCCATAGCTGTGATTTTTTTTTTCCATGCACTGTCAACAGTTCCACTCTCTAAACTTACCAAACCCTGACCATTATCACTATTTTGCTATAACACAAGTGTACAGGAAGGTCCACTTAGGGATCCTAGCTTCTTTTACCTTGAGCTGGGACAGCTTATCACTTTCTCTCTGCTGAGCCAAAATCAATATTACTCAATATTAATAGGGTTTTTGTCAGTGAATATATACTTTGGAAAGGAAGGGTCACATTTCTGCCATGGCACTAGGTTGCTAGGATTTTGACAGACAGCAGTACACACTTAGGAAACCTCTTTTCTGTGCAACATATACTGAATAATAATTGAAGTCAGAGTTCAATGAAAAGCCTCTTTAACTGTCTGCCTTATCTCTGGTTGAGCATTATTCTTGTGCTTTCTTTTACATGTAGGTTTAAAAAACGAATGCTGATAGAACAGCTTGAGGGTTTTCTGGAAGAAATCCATCGCAGATCCAACCAGGTCAACCATATCAACAGCAGCTAAGAGACACTTTAGACAAAGAAAAGCCACAGCAGGGTACTGCTGTATTACCTGCATTCATTTTTGATATGCGCTCTTAAAGTCCCTATCTGAAAAAATAAATAAAACCTCAAAGCTGCTCTGTAGTATAATGAGAAAAGTATCCATAAACTTTTTTTCTTCCTTTCTGTTATTTTTGTAATGTGAAAAATATCACTAAAAACATTTTTATTTAACTAAATAGAGAATTCCTTGCTTGTCATTGACTTAAGTGTCACTTTCCCTCAGGTTCTATTTTTTTAATCCAACCTTCAAAACTATCACCTCTAAGGTTGAACTTTGCCAAAAAGTTGCTTTGTAATTTTCAAAAAAGCACATACATTAAACAAGGTAATGTTTTGTATATACAGTTATTTTGGATATATTATTGTAAGTTGTACAAATGTATTTTGAAAAATATTTAAGAAAAGCACTTTTGTTATTCCATCAATAAAAGCTCTATTTTAATCTTTGATGTGCAGGTGTCAATGTTTTTTATTGAGGTAGCTCATTCTCTCCTCCATTTTCTAGGTCTTTGCTGTTTGTGTCAGTTTTTAGGAATTGGCAACACATGTGTGTCACTGGAAGTGCTAACTCTTTGGTTCTCAGAATTAAACTAAGGTCTCATCTTGATTAACCAGGTAGTTACAGTGATAAATTGACACTACATTATATGCTGTAAGTCTTATATTTTCCAAAGAGCATCACACACATTTTATGCTACAGTAATGGCAAAACGCAGGAATATTTGGTGAAAAAATAATACACTTAGAGAAGTCTTTTTAAAATTCCTTCTGCCTAGCTTCAGCTTCTTTTCAGGATTTCAGCTGTCTTTTCTAGATGTTCCTACCCTTGTCCTCACATACATAAGCCTTGCTAAGTAATGGAGCATCTCTTTTCTCAGTGCTTTGCATTTCTCACTAAAAATGATGTCTTTGTATAAATGCTTAATTGGGTGTAGTATATATGTTGATACTTACTCGGCTATTATGTGAGCAGACACACTAAGGTGGCTTAGTGCCAATTCCTAAACAGCCTCTTACAGCTTAATTAGTTTCTCTTGGCTGCACCTTAAGCTACTTCTTTACCTCACTGCCTCAGTTTGATTATGTAATCAAACTTGGAACCTGATTCAGCTTCTAATTTTCTTTTTACTACTACTACTACTTAAGGTAGCAGGTATTGCAAGGCTTTGTTTGGGGCAAAAGTTAATACGATTTAAGTGTCTGAAGCAGGTTCATTTGCTGCAAGTTTGTGTGTAGCATGTTATAGCATGTTCATTTGTAATTACGGCTTTATTTTTTACCTAGGCAGCAACAGCAGATGGGTTGCACTAAGCCATAGTGGCAGCTGATTCAGTGGTTCCCCCACCTTCATCCCCATCAGCAGTTGCTGCCACCACAGGCTGATCAGCTCTTGCTGTGCTAGGGTGGAAACAGAATATTGGGCTGCCCTGTGTTCACAAAGCTGTGATGGCAACAGTAAAACAACAGGTTCTCCATGACAGCTCTATTCCTCTTGGGTTGTCAAGGAGCCAGCTGCTCTCAGTCCCTCTGTCTTGAAGAGTAGAAGGGAGAGCAGAGTACTCTGGAATGTTGTGAGTCAGAGAAACCACCTGTATTGGTACATGTAGCTGTCCATGTTACATGTGGCGTTACGAAAGGAGTTCCTGTTTGAAACAGAATTTTTTTGATAGCGGATTCACCTTTTTAATGTTATATACTCCCTTTTTATAGCACTATAAGGGCATAATAAAGCGCAACAAAAGTAACGTACATGTATAGCTTGACAGGCTTCTGTGATCTGGGTCTAAACATCTTTATTTTACTGACCATGGGTAGAAACTTGTGCTCTCCAAACATTTTTTGTTTTTAGATATCAAGATGGATAAATAAAAGTCCACAACTCAATATGCAAAAAGTAATATATTTTATTTACAAGGTTATATGGTTAAACATTTACCCACTGTTCCTTACTGATGTGTTTGCAAAAGATGGTATTTTAAATATCCTATTTTAATAAATATGCATAGGGTGCCTCAGTTTCACCAAGGGAAAGCTGGTCTCAGGAGGAATTGGGAGCGGGGTATATCTGACAAACTCTTATTGTGATGGATTTGTAACTCTTCCTATAAAGAGCACTGATCCTGAAAATTGAAATAAATACATATTACACTCTTGAACATTTATGATTTTATAAAGTAAATGGGCGCATTTCAGATTTGTACATGTGACCGGCAAGTTAGTTTCTCAAATTGATCACTGGCATGCAAATACCTGGCTTTTGGATGGTGGGGAAAGGTTGGAAGTCTGGCCCTTCACTTTGTCAATCATGCTGGGCAATTTTAAAGTGAACTGGTCAAAGCAGCAATTGAACAAATTCACTCCTGTTTTAAATTCACTAGAATTACAAAAGAGATTAATTCGGCCCATTAGGTTACAGTGTTACTTGATTCAGCAGTTTAATTGTTGCTTAAATCACTTACACTGGGCTAGTACAATACTTCCGTCAGCTTGTCCCTGTACAGGGATACATTAATTTGTTGGATTTTAAAAAGGAAATTTGGCACTCCCAGTTGTATCAGAGTTGGGCAGGGCTTTTGTCTTGCTTGGTATTTGAAAAGTGGCTAACATTTCTGGTATTACCAGAGCATAAACATGGTGAAGGTGAGATATCCTAAAATTTGGTTCTACTTTGAGCCCCATTGTTAATTTGCTTGTGGTTAGAATTTGGAGCTTGCTACTCCCAGAGGATAATAAAAAAGCTATTAAACATTACTTTTAAACTGTGACTTTATTTATTCCCTCTCCCCAAAGATAACAGATTTCAACCAACATTTTTCATTTTCACATCTACTTCTGCATTCTTATAATAAATGGTACAGGGAAATATGATTTGCTCTGCTGAGGATGTTTTCTGGTACTGTTTGTTTAGAATGTTATATAATAGTTTTTTTCATCTATACTTGTTTCCTTATACGTCCCTGTTTTACAATTTATATTTCTATTAAAGAATAATTTTGTGTTATGTTTTGCTCAATTTACTTACCAAAATGATTTTTGCTACCTAGTTCTATAAGGTAATTTTGGCTCAGTTTTTGTAAGTGAGGCTACAATCTGTTCCGTGTGTGTGTGTGTGTTATCTAGACTTCTCAACGTTAGTCTTTGCCTGGCATGTTTTCTGGCCATTGGATGGTTATTATTGCAAAAGAAAGACAGTCTTAAGATATGCTTCCCCCTTTTAGAAATGCATCATCACTGTTCGGCAAAAATTGTATGTTGTTACAATATTTCAAAGCATCTATCTGTTATGCATAAAGCTTTTCAACAGTTAGGAAAAACCTATCCTTTAGTTTTGAAGTACCTACGAGGTAGATGAGAAAATATAATCACTTTAAATAAAAAGTTCTTTTTTTCAGGTCACAGAGAGGGTCATTTTACTGAGCTCTATAAATGGTTTTTATGTTCCCTAAATATCTAGCAAAAGTGATTTGGGACATGAATGAGATTTGATGGCTTGTGACATTGCTAAAAATGTCTTAACTAATTGCATTTTATCCTTTCTGATAACTTTCTGCTCCCCCAAGAGAATAAGCATCTCATACAAAAGAAATATTTCTTTCTTTTCTTTTTTACAAATTAAGTCCCTGTAAAACCAGAGGATCTATACAGAGTAACTATCCTTTCTGGGTCCTTAATGTGAAAAAAACATGGTCTCAACTATTTTCTGGGTTGTGGTGTCCACATCAAATGACTGCTATGTCTGCTGGTGACTATCAATGTTTTGAAGAGACATAGACCTTAAACCATCCTCTCAGAATCAGGAGATGCTTGGGATTGAGGCATATAGGCAGGATGGCCAGCAGGGCATACTGTATATGGTCTCTGCATAAATAGACATTAGTCTCTATGAGTATCAGTGCCTTGAATGAGAACTAAAAGTACACAGAGACTGTTACAGATGTTCCCTGATTTTTGTCAGTTTTCCTGCTACCATTAAATTTTAACACTTATTCTACAAATTCTAGTAGTTGAGTTTTCCTAGCATCTGATGAAGTAAATTGTTGCCTACAAAAGCTCATCCTCACCTGAACAATTCAGTCTCTAAAGTGCCACCGTGTCCTACCTTTACAGGTTCTGTTATAAGGGAGTTTAAAACTACTATTTTATGGGCACTGAAGTCACTTAGGCCACAGACAGGCATTCGGTTAAAAGTGCAATCCCAACAATTGCACTTGCCATGCCACATGTTCATGGCAGGAGGCAAGATTGTGGGATAGATGAGTAAATGAATAGTCCATACCTGTATTGGCTTGCCTCAAGAAAAAGATGAAAGGTCTGTCTGCTTTGAAAATAGGAGTTCGAGATCTTTTTAGCAACACCATTGCTGCCGTGCAAGAGAAAAAACAGTAATAAAATGTTTTGACTTCAATTTCTGCCTGTTTTATACAGTACCTGCAGAAGTTTGAATTTTTACCATCCTAGCCACTGAGCTATTAATTTTCCCTCACTATACAAGTGAAACTAAGATTAAATTTATCTGATAGTAAAATTCCCATATACTGTATATATAAGCAGGGAAACTTTTGGCAGGCTGTATTATGTAAAGAATACAGTGCAGCAAACAGTGCTAGAGGGAGCACTGCCTTTTTTTTTTTTTTTTTTTTTTTGCTAGAGTCGTAACTCCTGGCTACGCCACTTTCCTGCACCACGTGACCAATTCCTAACAACCTCCATATGTCAAGGCTTAGTTATTTATTTTACAGAGTTTACGATATATAGACAAGTAAAAGAGAAATTATTCCTGATTTGCAGATAGGAACTATAGACACAGATGAGGTATTCTGGAAGCTGCGTAGCAGAAATCAAAACCAAACCTCAATCTCCTGAATTTCCATCCAGTGTCTTGGGGTTAGTAGCTGGTATTTTGTACAAAAACATCAGGCTTCTCAATAGTTCAGGGATTTTTAAAAATGTATTAATGCAAATTTCTTATATTATGATAGACCTAAACATCCGTAAAGTAAGATCCTCTTGTTGAATTACAATTTCCCAATGAAATTTCTATATTGCTAAGTGGTGTTACTAGTATATTGGTCAAACATTAATATCTGTGGATTTTTTTAGGATTAAAACTTCTCCAAAAATATAGAAATGTGACCAAAGCTAAATCTTAACAAAACTAAATAACTAGCTTGCTAGGCACTATTTCTGCACTTCTAAAAAATAAATTGAAATTTTTCTTTTCAATATGTCAATATGTTACTGAACTTACAGGTTTTGAAGTAAGCAGAGGTAGATGTGCATGCAGCCAGTAAACTGTTAACATGATTGGTGAGTGTCAGTGATGGAGAAGGGAAGCAAAAGAAGCCACAAATGTTGCTAAAGAGGAGTTTCGTTAGGGAGAGGAGAAAGTGGCTTTTTTCACTGTTCTTTTCTGCTGCTGTCCAGATTATTCTAGTTGGGACATCAAAGACTTCAGTGGAGACTAGAAGGTACTTGTCTGAATATGTGCAATGCTAAGTTTATAAGTATACTGTTACTGGCTTTTTTGCACTCTTACTTCAATCTTTCTTTGGCAAATCTTTCCCCATTTTTCTATTCCTTCCCAAAAATATTTTTGGTGCAGAACAGTTTGTATGGGCCTGCTCCCAATGCAGTTACTGGAGTTTTGTTATGGACTGAAATGGGATAAGGACCTGGTGTTCTGTCTACTGCTAGCCACAATGCTTCCTCTTTAGGTTGTGAACACTTGAAGTAATTTTAAATTGGTTTCTCCTATATGAGTTTATTTATCAGAAACATTGCAGGAATGTTACTGCACCACTAATGATAAAAAGTCAAACTATTGTCGAGCCCCACAGCAAAATTAATTTAGCCATGTTGCATGCAAACTATGTAACACACATGTTCCTATGTGTATCACCATCATCACTATGATGCTGCTGCTGGAGAAATATTGGGTAAAATATGGAATTGAGCTATGTTCAAAGCAAGACTTAAGATGAACAGAGTGGACAAAAATTATTTCAGTCAACTTCTGTCCTCAACTGCCTAAGATGAGGCCAATTCAGCCTTTGGCATAAACTGAAACACCTTATGCCACAGATCAATAAGGGACAGCTTGCACCAAAATGCACCAAAAACTCTATGCCAAGATAGTAAGAGCAGGTGGCATATAGAAGACTGACCTCAGTAGCACCTGGAAATTTCCATATACAGGAGAATCCCAGGATGTCCTTGTGATACAAAGGGGTGGAGGAACTGGGTTAGCTACTTTCATATTTCCCCGTTTAAACCTACTTAGTTTCTGAATAGAGAGTATTAATGCAGGGTTCTGGATTTAAATGTGTTTAGTTTAAAAAAAGGGAGGGGAAAGAATATGACATGCCAGTGGGGAAAAAAGAATACGACACACAAGTTCATTAGAACCACAGTCTAGGTTGGAAGCCGGCATTTTGCACAGTCCTCTTTTTATGTAAAATTACATCTGCTGCCAGAAACTTGTACATAGAATTTGAAGCTCCAAAAGAGTATCTGAGAAATTAAGCCTACAAAGCATGCACAGAGCTGTAACTTCAAATCCTTCAAATTAAAATTGCTGTGGTGCTTTTCTTCCAAAAATTGAACCAAAAAATCCCCTTCCTGACCAGTAAGAAAAGTTCAAAGGTCAGTTGCCTTTTACAAAAAAAATCCCTGTACAACAGGTAAAATTTATTGGTATGTTTGTGTGCATATTTATACACTAAATATGTACAGTGTGAAAGACAGACAATAGTCAGTGGTTCTTCCATGCTCTTTAATTTGATAAGTAGCTGGTTGTTTTTTGCTGTCTCCCCATTACATAGGTGCATATTTAACTTAGCATTGTCGTTAAGCACATATTTGTGTGTTTTGCTGAATCTGGGCCTTTAATGTTTGCTGCAGCTGTGAGATGGTGCTGATCTGCAAGCTCACTAAAGTGCGTGCATCTGATTTACCTGTAGCTCCTGATGCATTTGTACCATCTTCTGCAATTTCAATCTTTGCTTTGTGAATAGCTTCTGAAATGTAAAGATTGCCTTGCTCTAACAAATAGACAAAAAGTGAGTATTAAAAGTTATTACCTGTTTACCATTGTAAAAACAACACAACTGTTTAAAAACATTGAAAAAACTTTTTTTGTAGCTGCTTTCTCATTCTGTTGCCCTTTGTAATATCTGTGCTGCTTACAGAACCCTCTAGTTACTATACATTTCATTCAGGGTCGCTTGGGCAGTTTGTTTTAATCATTATATTAAAAGTGAAAAGCCCATTGGCCAAGTTTGCGGATGACACCAAGATATGGGGTTGCGCAGACACACCCGCAGATAGTTTGCAGATACAAGCAGACCTAGACAGGCTGGCAGGTTGGTCAAAATGGAGCCAGATGAGGTTCAATGTAGAGAAATGCAAAGTGCCGCATCTGCGAAGGAAGAACCCCCAGCACACCTACAGGCTGGGCATCGCTAACCTGACCAGCACTACAGGTGAAAAGGATCTGGGAGTAACAATAGACCCCAGCATGAATATGAGCCAGCAATGCGATGCAGTAGCTGCTAGGGCCAGTAAAACTCTGGCATGCATCAAACAGTGCATCTCCAGTAAAACCAAAGAAGTGATTCTCCTGCTTTACTCAACATTGGTGCAGCCACAGCTGGAGTATTGCATCCAGTTCTGGGCGCTGCACTTCAACAAGGACGTGCTGAAGCTCAACAGGGTCCAGAAAAGGGCCGCTCGTATGATCGGAGACTCGCATGACAAGCCATACGAGGAGAGGCCGAGGGATCTCGGACTCTTCAGCCTAGAGGAAAGAAGGCTGAGAGGGGACCTGATTGAGGTTTACCGCTATCAGAGGCATACAGTGGGGGGCTCGGTGAACAACTGTTCACCAGGGCGCCCTGTGGGAAAACTAGAAACAACGGTCACAAATTCCTGGAAGATAGTTTCAGGCTGAACATTAGGAAAAACTTCCTCGCAACTAGGGTGTCCAGACTATGGAACAAGCTCCCCCCAGAGGTGGTGCAATCATCTACCCTAGAGGTCTTCAAGAAAAGACTGGACGGTCACCTGGCTGGGGTCACCTGACCCCAGATGTCTTTCCTGCTCATGCAGGGGGTTGGACCCGATGATCCTTCAGGGTCCCTTCCAACCTTATGATTCTATGATATACTAGATCAATTAGTCCATTCCTCTTCCCTTGGTTTGATAGGATGTATTGTTTATCAAAGATGCTGCATTAGGTCTATAAATATAATTTTGAAAGGCATTCTATAAACAGTTTACACTCCTGTCTGAACCTTACTCTGTTTAGTTCATGGGTGACTTTTTAGAGTATTCAAATGTCAGAGTTACAGTTCTAACTATGCTTGTATCAGCTTTATGTTCACTCTGCTATCAGCTTGTATAGATGCAGTAAATAATAGCTGATGGTTAGAGAGCTACTAATAGCAGGTTTTGTGGTCTAACATTATTTGATGTATCATGATGTATACCATACTGGAAATTTTTTGCTGCTTTCCACAAAAACTATAAATGTTGTATGTAAAATATTGCAATCGTTCCTCTTGTCTCTTAATAATTGTTATCAAAATGATTTAATTCCTTTGCATAATGAGGGTCTGTTTTTTATAGGAAGGCTAGTTTTCCATGAATGTTATTGTAAGTGCATAAAAAGAGTGTAATATTTACCTGCTAAATACAAGCTATGCTATAGGTAACAACAGCTTTCCTTCCATTATAAATGTCTTCAATTGGTCCTTTCCTTCTATAATCAAGTAAATTTCCTTCAGAAAGTCAGAGGGGTAGAGAGAAACTCATGCTGAGCATGAGTTGATTTTACTATTTCAGTGATTTTTTTTTATAGTCTGTTAGTGTCCTCCTGTGTCATGGTAGTATAGTCTGAAGAAATGAACATGAGGTTGGGTGTCAAAAAATGTTGAACTTTAATTTTGACTCTAGTATCACTGGCAAAATCTTAGACGCTGTGTTTCACTTCCCCATTTGTGCATTGAGATTAGCCATACTTAACCTTAACAACCTTAACCTTAACTTAACCTTAACCTAGTACTTCAAAATGGTTGGTAAGGGCAGGATACTATGGTAGAAAATCAGTTCCCCTGCCTGCTGCTGGCCCTATGTAAAACTGGAATAACAATGTTCATCTTCCTTTTGAGGTGCATTTTGAAGTTCTTGGATACTAGACATTGCTACAAATGGTAACTTTCTGGTATCTAGTTTGTTACTGTTTGCAGCATTTGTCATAACCAAGCAAGCCCAATACAGGTTATTGAGCTCCATACCAGAGTAAATGCATAGAATTCTATTGTCTGTGTTAGATTATGAAGCTGACCTCCCATATAACAGTCCCGTCTGGCCTTCAGATCTGTGATTTTATTAAATAACAATTGATCTGCACTATGTTTTTCACTGATATTACAAAGATCAAATTTCTGTCAAGGCCAAGGTATCCAGAGAGAACTCACTTATTGGATACTTTTAAACCTTTGTGGCTGCCAGAATATAAAAATAGCATACAAGAAGATGAAAAAAAAGATAGGAGATAAAGTGAAATGATGGGCTGAGTTCCACGTACAATTCTGGACCAGTTCAAGCCTGTACTTCTGTTAAGCGGCAGGCATCTTCTGCATCAAGCAGCTGCACCATGTGTAAATGAGACATTAAAATGGATTTGAAACCAGACTGAGTTAAGAAATATCACGACTACATGAGCAGTTTGGAAAGCACATCTGGAAAAGTTTCACTGTCACGACTGCTGAAGAATTATTTTCTCACTTTAATAGCAGCAGTGAATAACTGGGGAAGAAAACCTAGCATAAAAATTACCTGCCTACCCTACAGAGGGGTAGGAGTTGGTAAAAACATCAAGCAGAAAGTTTAGTAAGAACAGGAGGCTGAGTCCTAATTCCTGCTCCCTTGCCTGGAACTGGTTTGCAGTATGACCTTACACAAATCACTTACCTCTCCTTTGCCATGCCTATCCCAAGGACTCTGTAACTGCTAAAATGATGGCCTTGACAAATGACATGTTAACACCAATGTAGGTGACAGGTTTTATACACCAGTGTAAATTATACCCGTGTCTGGAGCCAGGGGCATAACACAGTCAAGTGCCCAAGGCAGCTACAACACAGGGGCAGCAGTAATTTCTGAGCCCCTTCTTATCCCTCCCTCAAAGTTGGTGCCTGGGGTGGCTTCCCTGCCCTAGTTGCACTTGGTGGCAGCAGTGATCCCTCATAGTTGAGGATGATCACTCCCATGGGTCAAGTAAGGGTTGTAGATGAGTCAGTTGATGGCTAAGGTTGATCTGAGAACTACACTGTACACTACTATCTGGAGCAGAGAAGTGACTAGCTCTTGCAAGGCAGTTGCCCCTGTAAGTACTGCTACTACAATAGCTTGCCTCTGGGTAATGGGAGCTGGTAATAGTCCATTTGCATTCAGCAAACCAGTACCCTGGAATAACTGTAGATGCATAATCCACAGTTTGTTAATTATACCGGTGTAGTTTTACCCCTGACTTTTCCCAGGGTAACTCTATACCACACTCTGTAAGGTTAAATCAGTATAGAGTTGCATATTGTGTGCCTTTATTTTTTTCACATTTCTGTAAGCATGGGTTATACTAGTATGAAAGTATTGTCTGGGCCCTCAGTTGAAGGTACAGTCCACTATGCAAGTCGCCATTCAGCTTGATTATTGACATAACATGGGCCAGATTCTGATTGCAGTTCCATGAGTAGTATGGAGAAACTCTGCTCATTACACACCACTGGAATTGTACGTGCGCTATTATGGCTTCAGAATCTGACCACATTGACTTTTTAAAAAATCTCCTTTAAGTTAAAAAGCATCTTCATAGGTTTAAGACAAAGGGAATTAGGTTCAATTTGTGTTTCTGTACTTTAGCGCAGCTTTGGAACACTTGGGGTGAACTGTTGGGTGAAATGGCAGTCTTTCCTTCGTATTTTTTCCATCTTTGTGATTATACACCCACTATACCACTGAGTTGAATACTGAACCCTATTTGTAAGTCATCGATCAGTGGTTTGAGTGTCCCTCCACTAATTCTGGTAGTCAGCAATATTTTTCCATGTGCTTGAGGACTAATGATTGCAGTGGGAGGAATGAATTAATGATGGATCCATTAAGCAATCCAAAGAAACCCTTTAAAAATTGCTGATCAGGAAGAAATAATGGGACTATAACATTAAAAAAATAGAGTTCTGAGGAGACTGAAGCTTAGTGGCTGAGATAATTTGGTAAGACCTCAATGAGAGCTGCCTATTTCCATATTTATTATTATGGGTAAAGGCAAGTGTAGTGCTTTTCCTGGTTGGTGCCTGAGTTTATAGTGTTAAGTCAGAATTATATAGAGAAGAAATGGAAACAAAGAATCCCTGAAAGAGCAATTTAACAGGGAAAACTTGAGAGTGAGAACTTGAGCAGAAGCATTTAACTAAAGCTCACAGGTGGACACAGAGAAGCAGCAGCTGAATCAACGTTGTAATTCATTCTCCTAAACCATTTGCTCTAGTTTAAATAGATGCAAACCTTATAGGTATGTTTGTGAACTGTTGGCAGGTTTTAATAAGCATGCCAACATGTCTGGAATTGACAAAGCAGCCAAATCAAAGATCATATCTACAATGCAGCTTACAAAAGGATGATCATCAAGTTGCAAGTTTTAGTTGGGAATTAAAAACAAAATATGTGCCATGAAGTTTGTCCCATGAAAACAATATTCTTGATAAGGAACCTCATAAAAATGTGGCTTCCATTGTACCAAAAATCTTGTGGCCATGCTTCCATTTACAATAACACCACTGGAAGACAGCTAAGATTTTACAACTGAATCTCCATTTAAGATTTGTTGATACGGATATGAGTGCCAAAGTGGAATTGCTCAAGTAGAAAGTGGTGTTTATCAAACCAAAGGAAATAGGTATCTGTGGAATCTTTTATTATTTGCTCAGGTTAAAATTTTCCAGTTAGTAGAATAACCTCAGGCTTTTTGAAACAGCTGGTCAATTTCTATCTGAACAAAAAGGAGATGGAGTTGATTATTTGATCACTGGGTTTTCAGGACAGAAACAAAGGGAAATTATAGGAATGTTGAGGACTCAGAATAAAGAAACCTGTTGCACTGTTAGGCCATTTCCACACAAACGCGGACAATTGGGGACCTTGTGCCACTGCTAGTTGTCCCCTGGGAATGTCTGTGCCACGTGCCCTGTGGCGTATGTGGCAGGTTACCTTGGGTGTGGTAGGGGAGGTTGCGGCCAGCACTGTGCTGGCCCTAGCAGCCTTACCCGGGGTCCTGGGGGCCTCCTGGGGCTGGGGCAGTCCTGCTGCTCAGAGCCTGGCTGGCAGCTGGAGCATGGCTCTGACCGGCCAGGCTCCGGTTTTGATCAGCATGTGCTGCTCTGCATTTTTTGACCCCTAGATATTCAGGGGCCAAATTAAACCCCTGCACTGCTCCCTTGCATCATGGACAACAGCTGAATGTGCAGTATGTGGTGTTGCAGACATGTGTAAGGCACTATGTACTGCATGGCCACGCTTGTCTGCACATGACCTAAATGTAGCATTATATTCAGTAACTATTTAGGACCAATAGTATGAGCATGAGGTACAACAATTTTTCCAGGTTTCAGGTTGTGCCACACATACTGTGGCTAGTAATGTGCTTTCTCACTGGCTTAATCTCTCAAAATCTTTCCTTATCAGATTTTGCTTATCCTAATAACAGTTTGAAACAGAAACTTCAGTATAACAGTAAATCAATAGAACCTGGATTGTGGTTTTCATAGAACCAGAAGTATAATTAATCACCAAAGGCTCAGCTCTGTTGAATCACTGAAATGACATACATAAGTCTACAACAATCCATACATTCAATAATTAGGTCTTATATTAGAAATGTTCTTACCTGAAATACCTTTAAAATCAGCCTCAGATGGATCGAAAATATCTGTTATTCCCAACATGGGTAAAACCATTTTTAAGTCAAAGTGGCTTTGAATGCTGAATCTAAAATGAACACAGCAGATTTTGTTTAAATATACAATTCATAGCTGCAGAGAGTGGAAGGCCAGAACAAACCATTTAATCATCTCATCTAACTTTCTGTATGTCATGGGCCCTTATATATGGAGAACTGAGGGAAGTGTAAGACCAGCAATTTGTATTTGGCTAAAGTGTTTCTTCCATGAAGGCATTCAGTCTTCATTTGAAAACATAAAAGATTGTGTATTCACCTCCTCCCTTGGTAGTTTGTTCCAGTGGTTAATCACTCTCAATTTTAATCATGTCTGGCTTTACTTTTTAGCCAATGGTTC